TGTCTTCAAAATAATAGACGATAAGTGTATTTTTGTAAATAGACTATTTATTTTTTTAGAAACAAATGTGATAAAATAAAAATGTTATAATTATCAAATTGACTTAATTTCTTTTAAGAATAGCATATACGAAGGACTTACAAAATGAATGATTCAAATTATCAAAATAAGACTTGTGATAGACTTTACAAATTCTTTAAAATTTATATTTTAATTTAAGAGAAAACCAACCGTTAATAAATTATGAGAGCATTGTTTGAAAAATATCTAATAATTTTTCTATTTTACATTTCAAGACCAAAAAAAAAAAATTGAAGCGGGGGTGACCCCTTCACTAGATGGGTTGGTGAAAATTAAATAGAGATGCACCATCATTGGGCAAAATGCAAGCGTGGCCTTAGGTTTCGCCAAGTGAATTAAATTTTTCGGAAATTGATATGTGGTTGCCAAAAATAATGTTACATCAAACTTTGATACTAATCAATCTCGTCCAGAATAAGAAAAGGGTTTTTGTCAACAATTATTAGAATGCATTAAATATAAATAATTAACCCTGCTATCATAGATTGACGAGAAATATTATGGTATACACCTCTCAAAAGATGTATACTATATACACTTTATAAGTAAAAAAAACAGAACCGATTGGGAGCTCGAATTTGAGCTCCCCCGAATGCCCCGAATTCCATTTTTTTTTTTTTTTTTTTTCCAAAAGGCAATTGATTTACATAATCGGGAAAAATATTTTCTGAAATTTTTTAAATTTTTTATGTGCTTTAAAATAATTTTGAGTTGTATGTTTAGTTATGAGTTGTAAATTTTTGTATCACATATCAAATGTCACATCAATAATTCCCCACTCAAATCAAACCTCTTTTCCAAAACTATTTTCAAAACTCTTTACCAAACAAATTTTCTACACTCAAGCCCTCTCTTCTCTCTCTCTCTCTCTCTCTCTCTTTCTCTTTCTCTCCCTCTCCCTCTCTGGTTCAAACTGAAAATGGAAGAAGAAGAAGAAAATAATAATAATAATAATAATAATAATAATAATAATAATGCCCAAAACGACGTCGTTTTGGGCATTAGGGGCATTCGGGGCACGAAAATTCGAGGCACAAATCATTAATCTAAAAAAAATGACATAATTTCATACTTTATGAGTCATAACTAAAAAAAATATAATAACTAAATACAACATGAAGCATAATTATAGATCTCATGAGTCATAACTAAAATAATGTCATAACTAAATAAAAAAATTAGTCATAATTAAAGGAGAAAATTAGTCATAACTAAAGAAGAAAATGACATAATTAGAGGCGCATATGGTACACCCTTTGAAGGGTGTGTATATTAGAATCTCCCTAGATTGAAACAAAGATTATAAATGGGTTTCTCTGATGTAGGATCCTTGACATATATCATCCATAAAAAAGTTTAGGTCAAACCGATAATTGTAACCTTTTTCATTTTATCACATTTGTTTTTAAAAAAATGAATGGTCTATTTCAAAAATATATTTGTCATCCTTTTTTTAGAGATAAATGCAATAAAATATAACGGTTACGATTATTAGAACTATTATTTGATTGAATAGAAGAAGAAATTCTCTCACCCATTTCTCATTATTCCATCAAAGTATTAATTAACTGTAAGGAAGCAGTTCATATGTAATATTCAAATGGACAATATAACCTACAACACTAGGAGATGATGTCAATTCATTCATCACAGGTAGAAGTTCCCAATGTCATAGATTAAAATGTAGAATGTGTAACAAAGAATATAAGGCAAGTGAAGTGCTACATACAAGGTACAAAAAGAAAAGATATTTGTCGTAAATCCCTTTATTCTAAACTGATGAAAAAATAAATGGGAAAAACATATAAAAGTTAAGGAAGAAACAAGAAAAAACCAGCACAAAAGAAAGAAGATTATTAGGATTGCTGGGAAGAGGGAGCTTTAACTAATGGATACACATTCATCTATCAACAAATTAAGAATATACCACAAAGAAAGACAATCAGAAACAAAAACATCATCTAATCAAGCATTCATTAATAGGAATACAAGACATACCTGAGGCAAACTCACTCATAAACACTATCTGGTGTATGTATGTTAATCAATTTATCTGGTGTATATATGATATTTTTTTTTATATGCCCTAATCAATAGTGTTTCAGAGCCTTAACTCACAATAATTCAAGAGTCGAAACTTGTTATAGAAAAATGTATCCCATAAAAATAAAATAAAATAAAAGAATGAAGAAAAAGCTTATCATAGATAAATGAATTGAAAAAATAAATAAAAATGAAATGAATTTGAACAGAACAAATTTGTGCCACCTTTGAATGTACAAATGGAACTTAAAGCCAAAATGATAGCACGAAGTATTAAATCCCTTGTATTGAATTCATATGAAGTGCATTTAGGGAGTCCCAAAGATACACATCAATTGTGAATTATAATTGTATGATAGTTTTTTTTCCGTTCCCAATTGTGTTCAAGAAACATAGTAACTACTTTCCAATTATGCTATCATATGTAAATTGAGTAATGGCTAAGCAGTATAATAGATCCAGGGCTAATCAAAACCAGAACTCATTCAAAGGACCACTCCAAAACTCATACCCTTTCATATCTACAATATATTCTCAGATCTGGAATATTAACTTCATCATATATATATATATATATATAGGTTAAATTACAAACACACCCTCTGAAATTTACTTAAATTACAAATTATCCCCTATAATTTTAGAAATTATATTATGCCCCACTAAGATTTATAATTTCATAGCAAATAGATCATTTTATTAATAAATCATCAAGTTAATTAACAGTTTTTAATAATGTTACAATTTTATTTCAATTAATAATTCAAATAATTTTATTATTGTATAGGTGAACAGTTAGAAATTTTACTTTTTCAATTAATTTTGTTAAATAAAAAATTCTGACAGAAAAGTATTTGTAATTTTCCAAATCACGGAGGTAATTCGTATTTTAAGCAAACATCAGAGGATGTATTTATAATTTACCCATATATATATATATATATTCAAATAAAAAATTTCATGCAAAATTTTGAGTGAAGAGAGAGAAGATCAAAGTGAGAAAGCAAGCCTTGTAAATGATAAAAATAAACATAAATACTACTATAATAAAAAAGAATAACCCTTGACAGAAATGGAAGCCAAAATAAAACCACTATAATTTGAAGTTTGATTTTGCACCTAATAGAAAAGAAAAATGACTTAAGACCCCCAAGTGGGGTGACCTCCACCACCCCTACTGATTTTTGATTGGCTGAATTTTTTTTTTTTATTTTGGGTCTTCCTCTCACTGCCCCATGTGTATGTTCGGGTGCTGGGGTCGCCCCACTGGAGGTATGGAGCACTGCTGCATAGAAAAAGCAGGTGCCTACACTTCACAAATAAAGTGACTAATTAATGGCAAACAGATGCATACACATATTAACCACCCAAAAAAGGAACACAAAAATTCATCAATAATACAAAAACAACTATTTGCCTAACAAACAAAAATCCAACTAATATTAAGCATAGTTGTCAAATCGGAATTCGAATCGTGAATCAAAATGGCCTCGTGTCGAATCATGAATCAAATCGAATCGCAAATCGTAAAGATTCGGTCACTTTTTCTAAATTATTTAGAAAAATATATCTACATGCTTAGACATCAACTATATTTTATGAACATGAAAAATTTAGACTTAAATTAATGAAAATGTTGTTTTGAATGATGACCACGTAGTTTAATAGGTAAAAAGTTAATAAAGGTTTCTATTAAGATCACCATATTACCTTTTCCCTTTTTTAAATATTTCTTATCAACAATTCTTAATAAAGATGGTAAACAAAGACAGACTCTCAATTTATAAGGTAACAATAATTTAACAATGATATTGATATTTGGACAATGACTAAATAATAAGAAAGAATGTTTAGGATATTTTATTTTTAAAGCCCAAAATAGTTTTAAAAGTATAACTAACTTCACCCATGTAATATTCAACTATATTTAATTTAATAAAATAGCAATAGATAATTCATGGTATAAGTTACTTTAATCTTAAAACATCTTTAAAAGATATATTATAATTTTTTAAAGGAAAAAAAAAAATGAGAAAAAAGGTTACAAGCATGTTAGGTTTGACTGAATCTGATTAGTTCCTATTAAAAATTTCATAATCACTAAAATAATAACAAATCATGTATATATATTAATTATTTGATACTAGACGCTATTAGAAGTCGTATTATGTTATTTTCACAAAAAAGATTGAGAAGAAAAAAGTCAAAAATATGTTGAATATGATAGTTTTAAGAATTACATTAATAATAAAAAGTGAATTGAATCGTGAATCGATTGTGAATCGTGTGATTCACTAGAAATTCACTTTAAAAATACATTCATTCATAGATTCGTATCAATTTTGTAAAAATTGCAAATCGAATCATGAATTAAATCACGAATCGTAAGATTCTGATAACAGAGATATTAACCACCCAAAAAAGTTTTTTTTTCAATAATAATTAAGCAACCAATCTAAGTAATTTGTTTTCTTTCCAAATAGAAGGCATTAACACATTAAACCCCAAGAAAAAATTTTAAAAAAATAAATAAATCGAAATGAGGAAGACAGTGCCAGAACTGTTAATACCATTCCAGCTTTCCCAAAATTTCCTTCTCTGTGAAACGAATCTGTTCTCTAACATAAGCACTGTCTGATATGAAAATGAAGTCATTAATTAACCTACAAAAATCCTGAAAGTAGAGAAAGATTGGACTTGCAATTTCAGTTAAATCAACAGAATTTTAACTGAACACCACTTACCTTAGGTGTTCAAATTTCATGTTTGGTTTAATTTTCAAATTATACTGAAACAGGGAAATCACAACATAAAAGCAGAGGACGGTAAATTCAAAATATATCACCTTAACTTTGTACAAAACAAGCAATCATAAATCAGTATAAAGCATACAAAAGCGTTGCCATATCCCTTTTTTATTGTAGTGAATCTAACTGTACAACAATTGATTACTCATTTGCAACTGGCAAGTACAATAGCTGATCATGATCATGAATTTTTTCTCTCCTCCTAGTCCTTAGTGAGACACAACTTCAAGATGAAAATAATAGATAAGACAAAATACACATCTTTAAAAATCTTTGTAGCTAACCTGCTCTTCCTGAATATTTGCTACATCAAATGTCAACTTAGACCAGCCAATGATATGATTCCTGTGGCACTGATTACCCTACCAGAGAGAAATATCAAATAAAGGGCAATGAGGCCCACTCCAAGCCTCCTGGTAGGACGCATATCATTCCTTGGTAAAACAACAAGCGCCCAGATAAGTCCTGAGATGAGAAATCCCATAGTATAGACGAGGCTTCTGTCTTGTGGAAGAGTGTACAAGCCAGGTTTCTCTGACCAGGCTCCAAGCAGCATTGAGATCCCCAAACCAATAAGTGTGTTGAACATCGGACCTGCATAGCATCCAGACAAGGCAATCTGCACACCATCCCCACCATTCATTGCCAATGCAACATTTGACACTAAATCACCCATCGAGTTGCCCCATGCCAGTACAGTTAATCCAAGGATTGATGGATTAATCCCTAGAATTACACCCAATCCTACCAACAGAGCAACAAGCTCGTTTGCAATCATGTAGAACCAAACAATACTCATCAAAAATCCACCCAAAACCCATGGAAGTAAAAACTTCTGAGGTGGACGATCTGATCTAGTGTACCGAAATGCAAGAACACCGAGTGCACAACCAATGGAAACACCAAGGAAATAAGCAACCTTTCTGCTTTTAGAACCCACACTGTCTTGAGTACTCCAGAGAAATGCCAGAAGAATGGGAGCAAGTGAAGCACTGCCTACTGCATAGACTTTTGACCAAGATTCCTCCTCAACTAGAGGAATTGTCAACCGGCGTGGCATTGTTAAAGGCAACTCCATTAGCGAAAATAGTTTAGAACAGGAGAATGACGAGTGCTCAGTTTCTATGCCATCATCAATCCAGCCCCACACAGGCCTCTCATTGTCAAACACCTTAGCTGACTGATTTGAATATATTGCGACATTTGACGCCCACATCCACTGAGGCAATGCACTACGGGACATGATTGTATCACTTTCTGTGTCCATGTCAAGCAAAGTACTATAGATAGAGTCATCCTCTTGGTTCCCTTGAGAGAACACACTTCCTTTGACAGGAAGCAACGGTGTAACGACATCCAATTTCAACCTCCGAGCATGTTTCCTCAAAATTTCATTCGCAGCAACAGCAAATGCATAAACCGCATAAATCAAGACAAATGCGATAGCTCCCCCCACACTCACGTTACCAACATACAAAATCAATGAAAGTGATAGAAGAGTAACAATGAAGAAACTAATATCTCTAATAAAACATTTCCGATCAATCCGAACATCCTGCTCAGCTACACAAAGAGAAACAGCCCCAACAACGACACAAGTAACAAACACTGCCCCACCCAACACACTATTAAGACCCACATCACCAGTGCCTGTCCCCAGAAAAGCAGCAATACTTGCAAACACATCAGGAGCCCCATTTCCAAGTGGAAGGAGAGTCACCCCAGCAACAGTTGGAGATAGCCTCAATAGACTTGAGAGCTTCTCCAAAGAACAACAGAAGTAATCCGCCGCTGTGTTACCCAACAGATAGAACAATGCAGCTAGCCAAATACCCAATATTACATAAGCAAAGGCATTTTCATGACAATCACAATAGAAAAACACTGTGTAATCAAAGAATCCAGCGGACGAGCACTGGGGGTGCGCTTTCAAGAACTCACAACGGCTCGCAAAATTCACATGGTTGAATAATCCAGCACAAAATTCGGGGTTACTTCCAGACAAACTACTATTATTATTATTATTATGATCAGACCCATCTATGAAATTTGATGAATTAACACTAATTTCAACCACTTGCCGCCGGTGAAATACAATTGAATGACTTGAACCCCCATAGGAACCACGTGTTGACGATTGCCTTAGGATTGGGTTCCTCAATATATCTCCCCGGTTATAAAAGAAGAAAATCAGTACCAAAGCACAAAACCCATTGAAGATTCCACGAAATTGACCTTGCCTCTTACCATGTACACCACTCAACTCCATCATTTTTAATCTTCCAATACAGATTCTGGCAAATTATTACTAAAGCACCAATTCCAAGCTTATTGACCCAAAAAAAAAAAAACTAGAGTTTCGACGGATAAACAACAACGAAACCCTAAAATTTGAATTGGATGTAGATTTGAAGAAAGTGTTTGTACTGACCTATGAGATTGAAGGAAAACGAGGGAATTCGATCGTGAAATTGCAGAGGCATAAAATTAGGGTTTCCAAATTGGTACCTTTGAATCGACTGCAAACAGAAGATCTGAACTGAGGAATATTGACTTGATTGAGGTCTAACCTCATGTGTTCTCTTCTGCGAAATTTCTTCGAAAGCAAGAGAGACAGCGAGGGTGAAGGACACGGTAAAAAGCAGGGCCCTCCCTCTTTACTTTGAAATCATAGAGAAAGAATTACCCAAGCAAGTTTTTTTTTTTTTTTTTAAGTAAATTGTACCTCAATGGTGAATGCCATTTTTGATTTGTAAGTCTTGTGTTGATGCAGGCGAGGCGAGGTTTTGTGATATGGCTAAAGTGAAAGGGGAAAGTGTTGTTTCCCATCGCGGCGCGCAAGAATCGCTAGCAGGTTCTTTTGGCATTTCTAAGTCGAAAGTGGGTAAATCTAAGAAAAGTCTTTTTAAGGCCAAGAAGGACACGGATCCCCTGAGTGTCCCTCTAGCGAATTACTGGTGTAGGGCGCCTTTCTTTGGTGCAGCGGATTTATTTTGGACAAGGGTGGACTTGTTTAATGACAATGTAAATAGGGTAAGGCATTGGGAGCTTATATTTTCACATACTAATTTATCATTCTCAATTCACACACTTAAAAAAGGATAAATATTAGGAGTACTTACGTGTAGATTCTAATAAGTTGACTTATTATCTAATAGATCCTACGAAAAAAAAATTCAAAAAAAAGTCATTAATTATAAGTTTTAACGATAATTTATAAAAATTATGACAAAAAAAATTACTAATTGTCAATTTTTCGCGACGTATGTAAAAAATTATCACAAAAAAAATTATTTTTAGCAATAATTTTATCAAAATTTATTTTCAATAGGATTTGATGAGAATTAAGTTCAATTATTAAGACCTATTAATAATTTATCCTAAATATTAATATATGCTCACTCCACATACTTTTATCCCAAATATGTAAGGTATACACACTATTAAAACACACTCAATTTATCACACACGCCTAAACTTAAACATCCATGGAAGAAAGCCGAACCTCCATTTTCAAATATAAAAAAAAAAAAAAAATAGTAGTTCAATCTAAGTACACAAGTAGGTCTACTGAGTCAAAAATAAAAAAATAAAATATTACAGTACCTAATTATACCGGTCATGACAATGATAATAAATAAAAAATGTTAAATCTGTTTATACACATCTAAATTTAAACCTCTATTAAAAAAAGTTGAACCATCATTGTCAATAGATAAAAGTCAAACAAATAGAAAACCTAACAATAGAAATAAATAAATAAATAAAACTGGCCGACAATGCCTAAAATTATAAGGCTAAATTACAAATACACCTCCTAAGATTTGATTATATACGAATCTCCTTAATTTCACTCCTTGAGATTTTTAATTTCATAATAAATCGCCTTTTATTAATAAATTATCAAGTCAATTAACAATTTTTAATGATGTCAGAAATGTTTCAATTAATAATTTAGGTAATTTTATTATTGTATAGGAGAGTAATTATAGATTTCATTTTTATTTTTTTTGTTAATTCTGTTAAATAAAAAATTCTAACAATGGGGTATTTTTAATTTTTCAAACCACAGAGAATAATTTGTAAGCCAATCTCATGGAGTATATTTTTAATTTATCCAAATTATAATAAATGAGTTTGAAAATTTAGAATCGAAATTATAAGAAGAGTTCGGAACCATAGTATTGGAAAAAAAAAATTGTTCGAAACTTGATAGATGAGAAAAAAGTTTTTCTTTAGAAAAAAAACTTCACTCGTAACTTGGTTGGCAAAACAAAAATTTCTTTGGAACTTGGTTTCCGAGAAAGAAAATTTAGTTCAGAACTTGGTTATTAAAACCTTGATAATATTGTGACCTGGTTACCGAATGATACTGAAAAAAAGTGAGACGGTTTTAATATTCAATCTCACATTTTTGTTGATATCTATGTCATAAACGACAATATCCTTCTTAAAATCAGAACTTTCATTATGCAAATCTTCCATAACAACTGAATATTGATGGTGAGATTTAAATGAGGAGGAAAAACACAATCTAAAGTGTGTGGGTAATTTTCTGACCACACTGTCCGTCTAGTAATCAGCTGGAGAGTACCGGCAGAATAGATGGCTTCAGCTCACCTGTAACAGAAAGAAAAGGCTCCGGCGGTGGCTCTTCCACCCGGGGGCACTCCGACGATCAAATCAGTATATCTCTCAAAGGTAATCAAGTGCTAAACTTACTACTCAAAGCATAAACTGCGTACCTTAGACCCACGGGGTGCCTCTCTTTTATAGTTTACTTAATCCTAGTCCCACTAGAAGCCTGACTTCTATGGACTCTCATTCAGTGCTTACTTTGGATTTCACAAGAGATAAAGATAAACTCCCTAAGAGTTTTATCCTTATCTTGGCTAAGTCTCCTCTTTATCTTAGGACTCTGGTCCCTTATCCGTTTATCTCGGATTCCGATATCTTCGGAGATAACCTCAGCCTTGCTGAGATAACCTCGGCGTCACGACCAGGACACGTGGCACCTCGGCTGACACGTCGACGTCACCTTGCCACGTGTTGGTACTCAGAAAATACATCCCCACAACTGCCCCTAGGTTCTATTACCTCGGCATCCTGAGGTGATGGAACCTATATCTGTATTTTCTTCCAGTAAATCAGCTTAAAATTTGAGTGCCAAGATCATTCATTTCTGGCCAACATGCTTTCCCTAAAAAGTCAAGTTTTTTATGGAACTTCTCACGCGCATGAGCTGTCATGCACTTCAACCCAACCGTTTCAGCCGCGCGTTTCCTTCTTATTGGTCCATACACGTGACGCGCCTGTTAGCCACTTCTTTCCTCACGCGCGCCGTCTGACGCCCTCGTTCTTCTAGGCGTATTGATTGCTTTTGCCGCCGTTTCTGTTTAATCAAAACCCTTCTCTCTTTTTCCATCTTTTCACTTTTTCATTTCGAATTCCCTGCTCTCTCTCTCTAGCTTTCGAAATCCTCCAGTGCTTAAGCTCCAAAGCTCTGCAACCTTCTCCGTACTCCCCTTCCGGCGAGATTTCCACCGGTCTTCTGCTCTTGAAATCGTCATAGGACATCAGCAAATCCCTTTCTGGCTTCCCTTTTTTTGGTAAGCTTCTGTTCCTTTCGCTTTCAATTCCTTGATGTTTCTTCTTCTTTTGTTATCGCCATTACTGTACTGTTTCAAGTTTTTTAATTCATAAATCGTATATCTAACTGCATCTATCCATGATTTTGCCTTTGCCCATATTTTGAACACACGCACTGTTTCACCATATCTTTACACTTTTGCCACTGTTCTTGGCCATATACTCTTGTATTCTTCATGTTCTTGACAGCCCATCTCAATTCTTGTTTCTGAAACTTCGTTTTTGTTTTCTGTTTTTTGCATCTTTTCCAGATTCTTGCTTTCAATCTGTGTTTTCATAGATTTAGGTCTGGGATTTGTCTGTAGAACCCATAACTTAGGAAAAAACTGAAACCTGCACCTACCTAATTGTTTGTCGTGGTCCCAATAACCCTTCAAAAACATCTTCTGAGACCCACCTTCTAAGATTAAGTCGATATCATGGGTATGTGGAAATATAGGGTAAACACCCCCTCCAAACTAGAATACTTTAGACAGGAATTTGAGATCCCAGCCGACGTCCATTTGAAGTTGGCTGGGGATGATAACTCCATCATGCCTACCGAAAACTCCATGCCCTTCCCTGTAGTCACCTTTATAGAGTGTGGACTTCGGCTTCCATTAAACATTTTGTTTCGTGAGGTTCTCCATTACTATAAATTGAATCCTATGCAACTGGCAATCAATTCCTATCGAGTGATCTTTGGTATCATAGCCCTAGCTAAACAGGAAAATGCGAGGATTACCCTTGCCAATATCCAATATTGCTATACCATGTGTGGTCTTAACTTGAAAGAAAAAGGCTACATTTATTATTTTAAGCCGAGGTCCACAGAATTCAAAATTGTAGCCGACCTCCCAGACTCCAACAAGGGGGCTGGGGATGATTATTTCATTACCTCGGGGAACTGAGAGTTTGCCCTAGATGAAAACCTTCACCTCTTCCCTCTCCTACGATCAGTCTTTATATAGGGTAATGGTAAGAGCCCTGTATTCATACTTGTTTTACTTTTAAAGTCTTGTATACTTTATCTGTTTCCTAATGTCTGTTTTGTCTTTGCTTTTGCAGTTCTTCCTCAGCCGCCAAAAAACTTTCGCCAATCCTTTGTTCCTAGCAAGGATTTAAAGAAAATTACTGGGCCTACCAGTTGAGAAGCGAAAGGCTCCCTTGCTTCTTAACTTCATCCCAACATACAAATCAGCTCTCCCTGACGTTCCCAGAAAAAAGAAGAAGAAGAGCTCATCTCCTCCATCTGCTACAACTCTTCCAGCTGCATCAACATCGCGAACAGACCAAGGATCAACCTCTGATCCAGCAGAACAGCCATCGACCTCAGCTCCATACCTCATTCCATCATCCCAAAGAAAGCGTCGCCGACGTCTTGTTCTTGCATCCGAGATGGGTCGTGCAAAGCCAGTTACTAAAGACCTCCTAGCCGACATTCCATCATCGGTTGATGATCAGCCAGCACAAACCCTTCCTCCACCTAAGCCAAAAAGAGTTAAGAAGGCCCAACCAAAGGCTAAAGTTACTCAGACTGAGTCTGAGGATGCTTTGCCTATATCAAAGTTGGCTGAGAGCGACAAACCTCAACCCTCTGCTGGGAAGAGGCGCTCTGAAACTCAACCATCAGAGTCCCCAAAATCCAAAAAGCCGAGGTCTTCTTCCGCGACGACTTCGGTGTCCAAACAGAGCGGCGCCTCTTGGACTCCAAAAATTACTCTGGAGGACAAGCCAGTCCTGTCCACTGACAGTGCCGATGATATCAATGTCGGCGTAGCACTCAGTACAGCTCTGCTTCTGCCAAGGGACTTGGAGCGTAATGCTGGCTTTAGCGAGTATGAGAATTACGCCCTAATACTTCGACACTCTGTTCAGGTAAATGTCTTCTATTTGGTAATCGTCCTCTTTCATAATTTGAACATTCTCTAACACTTCTGTTTTGCTTTCAGGCCATCCAGCATGCACACTCATTTTCAATATAGTCTTTCAAAAATCGAGAAAGGCTTGTTGAGATGAAG